CGCAAAGTGGAGGGTGGTGTTCGTGCCTATAGAGCAAACTCGCACACGGGTAGATGCGATGGACAGACCTGTCCCTACCAGATACGGTGTGTGCGCGTGTGTGTGTGTGTGTGCGTGTGTCTAGGAGGAACTCAGATCTCAGTCAGAACGGCGTGTGCAAAGCGAGTTGGATATGCGTGCCGTTCAGCGTGACGACGCGGACATCCGTCTGCGCGGGCGCAACGCGCTCCATGGCGGAGGCAACCGCTGCGGCGGTGGCGGCGTCCGCCGTCGTGACCAAGATCAGGCTCCGGTTGAAGGGAGAGAAGCCGGTGTCCCCAGCTTTCCGGTGGTCCGACGTTAGTGTCGCCGCATTGATCAACGTGCTGATCGGCGCGCCCTGCCCTTGGTTCCACTCCATCACTGGCCACGAGAGCCGCTCCGACACGTACGTTTCCCACGAAAAGTAGGTGGACTCCCGCTCCGGCGGAGTGCAGAGCATCGAAACCACCGCGTCGCGGGACTTCAACGCATACTGCCCGTCCCGCATGTAATGTTTCCGAGAGTGCGTGTCGCCCTCTCCCCACGGCCCGAGGAGCGCCTGTGCGTACAGCGACGACGGGTTCGCTCCGGCCGCCGACATGTTTGACGAGAAGCCGAGCTCGAACGGGCCTCCAGTCCCGGTCCGTGCGATTTCAAAAGCCGCCTCGAGAAGCGGCGTGGCGGCATCGAACGTGGCCGAGTGCCTTGTCGGGTCGCAGCCGTGTGCGAAGAGAGTCAGCATTGGAGGAAGGGTGGAGGCGAGGGATGGAGGCGAGGGAGGAATGGAGGCTGAAAAGGATGGAGGCGCACAAGGTGACCTCTATTTGATTAATAAAGGGACTTTTTATGACGCATGCCTCCACGACACTGGGCACGGGACAGGCGCGCACTGGCACTAACACAGGTTAAAGTAGAAAACATATACCCCAAAGAGATATCCCACTGCTGCTGGTTTTTTCATACTCATGCCTCAGTCGAAGACACAACGACCCCTGGAATTGCGACTGTGTGATTATAGATAGTTGAAAAGGGGGAGACGCGAGAGCGGCCGCCAGCGTGGCGTGCCAGCGGAAGCGGCGAGGCCACAAGGGCGGCCGAGAGCGGCGAGAGGAGGGCGAGCGAAGCCGCCATCGATGTCCTCGCGTTGTCTGAATCCCGGGAGTGGAATTTGGGTGGAACATTCTCGGCTGTCTTTTCTTTCTTTCTTTCTGGTTGGTCCCTTGGAATGTCTGTTTTCTTTCTTTCTCTTTGTTTGGATTTCTTCAGAAAGAAAATTACATCGCTTTCTTCCACCACTGGCACTGCTTGACCTTGAGGTCCAAACATGGCACCACTCAGCCGTCAGCCCTACTCGCTCACATGCTCACCGCACCGCCCCCCCATCGAGCCGCCCCGCGCGAGCTGGCTTCAACAAGCTCCTGTAGTGCATCTACGCCGCTAAACGCCCGGCCGGCCGTACAGAGCCCCCGATACCTCACCGCCCCAGCTCCCACGCCTCGACCTTCTTCGGCAGCAGCTGGTTCGAAAAGTCCT